TGGTGCACCTCGGTGTCGGACAAACAGAAGAAGTGAGGAATATTTAACAGCAGCGGTCACAGTGATGATGAGGCGAGCACCAGTGATCGCGGCCGCACCTCTCGTTTCTCGTGCCCACTCTGTGTGTCTGCTGGGCGGCGATCAAACGGGCAGGGCAGCGCTTTTCACGAGCGGAGATCGCTACTAGACGAATCATGTAATTTTTTTTTCTTCTTATCTCGGTTCTTTTGTCGTAAGCTGTGTTATTACTCCATTAATTTATACTAGCCTATATATCCAGCGCTCCCTAAACGCAGTCTCTGGCTTATTGCCAGTCAAGCGCAAGCACGCTGCAGGGACGCATCTATAACGACTTTGATCTGATCATAAAGTCTTTCCGGGTCACAGGGCTCAAGTCCAAGTCAAGTCTCGAGTCATTCCTGTCAAAGTCTAAATCAAGTCTCAAGTCTTCTTTAATTATGTCGAGTTTGATAAACTTGTATTTTAGATTACATTTTATATTGAAATACTGTATTGTAGTTTACATTATGGCTTATATTTATTAATTTCAGGTGCACCCAGTGGCTTTTCAAGGGTCAGATGGTTGTGAATTCATACCTCAACTTTGTGGCTGGATTTGCAGTCTTATTACAACTTCAGTCTGGCGTCCCGGGAGCAGGCATCTTTTGCACATTTGAATTTTTTCAAAGGTTTCATGTTTTACTTGAGTAATTTCATTCGTGAAAAAGGTTACTTATTTAGGTTAATACTTATTGTATTGTATAAGTGGCATTTTTACATTCATTTTATTGAGCTAGTTTCATTCAATACTGAACTTTATTCTAAAGCTTCTGCTTGTTTTTATGTGCAGATGTTTTGTTGAAATCACAACACTCACTGGATACAAGACGAATACATAGAAGCAAAACAAGTGGAAAAGAGAAGAGGGACAACCCTCATGTGTGTGCTCATCTCAGAAAGTTGATGGACTTTCAGTATGTATTTATTAAATTGTCTTTTGCAGGAATATTCTAAATGTAATAGAACATAAGCTCAAACAACAGAATTTGTGGTATAATGTTGATTCCAGCATTTTAGTTTAATCCCCTTTTAACCAAAATTATACGAATTCTGTTGACTGACCTTAATTTTTATAGAACGT